TCTACCATGGTTCCTTTGAATTGTACTACCAAATATTGTAAACGGAAGATACCGCCTTTTGCTGTTCTAAGATGAATTAATATGGTTATATATATATCAAGGAGTATTTTCATTGAAAACGGCAGGGAAACGAGCTTGATTGGACTCTCTAATTTTCTTTTAATTATTAAGGGATAATTTCGGCCATTAGGAAATTAAGTGCTTCTAAAACGACATTAAAATCACATTTTCTCCCCTTCTCACGTTTATTTAATGAAGAGAAAGGAAAATTTAAAAAATATTAATTGGACCGAATGAAGTGTTAATTTACTCTGTTAAACATTAATTGAGAATAATGTTTTTTTATTTATATAACTTAATTTATTACTAGCTCTAACAAGTGAATCGCATTGTAGTCCTTATTTCCACCTCCTTTGAGCCTGAGCAGTCACGTTTGTCTCCCCAGAGGCCCCCAACGTGGTGCTTTTAATTTAAATTCGCGACTATTCGATTGTTTTCCCAGAGCTCTTACGCAATAAATCTAGCGTTGGTGTGTCCGAGGATCGAAAGAAGGGTTTTCAACCTTTCAGCCACGAAAGCACCCTGGCGTTTTTTTAATCGGCCCGCAGGCTGCCGAAAGCCTTTGTCAGAACATAAGGCCCCACACTCTTAAAATCATTATTTCACTTCCACGGCACACTTAACACAAAGTTCTTCTCCTAGGACAACAAATTACAGTGTGTTCTTGGATGTATACCAAGGCTTTGAACGTTGAAGCAATCGGGGTGTTGTGGAAGTTCAAGCATATCCTCCCAGCTAATACTACAACCTTACACTACAATCCTATCGAACCAATCGTCACTTACACACATCCGGAAATACTTCAATAGCTACTATCTATCTTATTCCAGCAGATGTCTCACAGGGAAGCGTCATCTCTCCCCTGCTTTTCTCACTTAATACGTCCGAGCTACCCACACAACCTAACAATAGCAGCCTTATCTTTATCTTCGATACACGATGTACAAATACACTAACGATGTACGATGAGTCAGATTATACAGTGAAATGGCTAATTGCGATCGTGTTGTGGTCATCCCTTGAGTAGTAGGACTTGGTAATACCGTAATACTTAGGATGCCGGCGGGTCTTCCTTGATGCTGAACAAGCTTGTGATCGGGTTTGGTACCTAGGTTTGCTACGGAAACGCGAGGGCATCCAACTTTTCACACAATTCATCATCCTTAAATCCGACCTTGCCGACAGATACTTTAGAGAATGTAGCGTCATCAGTCCGTTACAGTGCTAAGTATATACTTTTCATATACCATCCATCCCGGTACCAGATTGCTAATAAACGTTGATAACACCGCCATACTATCCTCCAACTGACTTCATCGAACCCTTCACATTTATATTCCATCGAACAATGATTCGAAAAATGGTGAATTAAACTAAACACCGTAAAGTCCCAAACCACAAACTACGCCGTCCGTCATATCATCCTACCTTCAATCAGGAAACCTCACTCCCTTTTGCATTAAGGATAAATAAAGCAAGTACTTTTTCTTGATAAACAAACAGTGTTGATTAAAACTGACAAAATTTACACAAAATATGAAGAAATAAGCATACTTATAGAGAAAATTATCCCACAAACGGAACTACAACATAATCTCTCATGTTCATTTACAGAAAAGTTGCCTATCATTATGCTAATCACTCTGACCACTTCGTACGATACACTTCACGATAAGGACAGCGCCGACGTTAACTTGTTTTCGTTCATAAAAGTTAATTTTCTTTTTTCTACTTTTTGTAAACATTAATTGTTACTAAGGTAATTTTTGTTTGTCCATTTGTTTTTCTTTCTATTATTTGTATAACTGAAATAGTTTCACATCGGGTCGGCGGCTGGTCGACCTAAGATAATGTCCGCTTCGAACTGTAGAAATGATCTGGTTCTCCAGGGACGGGGAAGAGAAGTTACAGAATTCATGGATGGAAATTTTGATTCTAAATCGAACGTACCCGATGGCAGCAATCCGGGCTCTGATTAACTCAGATTGATTCATAATATCAACGACTCCGAAAAACAGGGTTTATTTTTGAAAACTAACAAGGGACCTTATCATGTTTATCTGGAGAGCAAAGAGATTAATGGACAGACTGGCGGTTTGGCAAAATTGCATGCAGTGTCTCTTGGTAAATTGATTTATCAAAATCACCCTAAGATTCGCCATGAAGTTTTAAGTATAGATAGATCAGGGCGTAACAGAGTTAGGATAATTTTTAAGTCCTACCAGGGGTCCCATCATCTGGTTGAATCCGAGTATTGAAAAAGTAATAACATAAAAGCATACATCCCGTCCTTTCTCCAGGTTAGGGAGGGTGTAATAAGAGGAGTCTATCCGGGACTTACAGACGATAAAAAAGGGTACCCAAAATGTCAAAATTTTAAATGTTCGGAGATTCAAAAGGAAGATAGATTAGCTTAAACCCGCTACTGAAACAGGCAATCTGATAAACACGTGAACAGTGTTGATTATGTTCAAGGCTCTCCCCGAGCACATTACAATACATTTACGTGAGATGTAAGGTCGAGCCGTTTGTAAAAAATGTTGTCTTATTTTTCAAATGCTATGTTATGGCATGTAAAAGCATATTGCAAGGCTGGTTTACGCTGTGCTCATTATCACGGTAATCATAAAAAAAGGAGTGTGCACAAACAGGAACCCCCAGTTAAATGTTTGCATTGCAAAGGCGCCCACTCGGTCTTCTCTCAAAGGGAATGCCCCGAATATGATAAACAAAATATAATCAAAACAATAATGGCAGTTGAAAACCTGTCTTACAGTGATGGATTTCAGGTAGTGGACAAAAAATCATATGCAAGGGCCGCCATTGCCCCCTCTCTTAAAGACAATTCTTCTTTCCCTAAATTACCTTCTCCATCCTTGCCCGCCTATACAACGTCCAGCACGAACAGTCGGAAGAGAAGTTTCTCCCCCATGGTGAAGTCATGGCCCGAACCCCAAAAAGACTTTATAGCCCGCTGACTCCTACTCCAAAAGAAACCCCAGGAGGGCTCATCCCCTTTAATCCGTATCATCCCAAAGAAAATGATGACAAAAAGAGTTTAAATTTCGCTCTTATTTGTGAAACGGCACTGCGCGTTATAAATATAATTATATTATATAGAGAGGCTTAATAAGATTATAATTAGATAACCTACTAGTGTCTAGAAATTTAAATGACATTATAAAAAACAGTGTTATGAGCCTACCGATATTGCAGAAATTGGACGGCTCGGTACCAAAATAAACACAGTTAAATATCCAAAAACTAACTGGGTTTTAACTAAAAGGAGAAAATTAAATATCGATAACCTCAATGCTCAGTAAATATATGTTTTACCATTTTCGGTTGAAAATTGTTTTTAAAAAATTTTTCCACTTTATTCTTTTTATTTATTATTATGTTTTACATGATAACTTCCTACGGTTCTTCCCAAGTATATTAATCTAAATTGCTTACAGTGGAATGCACGGTCAATTATCCACAAAAAAGGAAGCCTCAAAGTCCTAGTAGATGAGAAGATCAATTTGGTACTTCTATCGGAGACATGGTTGTCCCCAACCACCGTTTGCCAATTTCTAGGCTTTCATTTTCATAGAAAAGACAGACAGGATTGATATGGTGGAATAGGTTTCCTGATAGAACATCTACAGTTCCTGGATTTCAAAGTCATCCATACTGAGCTCCGGCATTTTGCAATTGGCATGCAAGTTCAACGGGGTAACTCAGCACCTCTCAGTGTGGTCCCTGTTTACGTGTTCCCCTCGGAAAACATTCCTCAACTGAAATAGAGTCAGTTCTTCTCCGGCCTTCCAAGGCCTTTCTTGGTCGCTGGGGATTTCAACGTCCATCATGCTGCTTTTGGGTCCGATCGTATCGATAAAAAAGTGAAAGTCTCCTAAAAGCGGTTGAGGATGATAATGTAATTACTGCCAACGACGGAACCAGCACTAGGATAGGTTTACCTAGACCCAACACAAGATCGGCAGTGGACATCACCCTTCTGTCGTATGGCATCTCTCCAATAGCAAGATTGGAAGTGCTAGATGATCTGCATGGGTTCTGATCATCTGCCCAATTTCTTCTCTAGAGATAGAGCTCCTAACTCCATTTCTCCAGTACGGTCTATCGCAAATGGAAATTGAAAAGGGCGAACTATATAGAACTGGATAGAGTATAAGGATGTTTGGGAAATGGAGAATTTGCGCAATCATGGGGGAAACTGGAACTACAATCTTTTTATTAGGTCAATGACAGACATTAGCATGAAAACCATCCCTGTATATAAACCAAGAAGAGAAGGATCAAAAGTCTTGGCAAATGTTTGGTGGAACTCATAATGCGATTCGATCCTCAAAAAATGGAAAAAACGCGTACAATGATTACAGGTCTAATCCTACCTTTAATAATTACGAAGCTCTAAATGTTATACAAAAAGAAACTAACCAAGTTATTAAGAAAGCAAAATCTGCCCTTGGTGGTGGCGGCGGCTGGCATGTCGGACGAAAGGAACGCAGGGCGTGTTAGCCCCTGTCCCTCGAGGACGTGGACTTTTCCATATCAGGTTTTTTTGATGTACATGGTTTTTATCCACGTCCTCCAGTGAGGAAACTGAGAACAAAGGGAAAATAAACACGTGCGTCTCGCCCTTCTTGTCGCGGCTGTTCGTGGTGCCAGGGTGGTTCGCTCGTCCTCGTTTCCCGGGTTCCTGATCGGCGCTATTGGTATCACTATTCTACCAATTCTACGAAAATAGGTAATGGGGACTTCCCCCCCCCCAAAAAAAAACATTATGCTAATCATTTGAAATGAAACTATCATTATTTTTTATTAACCAACAAATACTCTGCGCCAAAATAAATTAATCGACTAATATCGCTAAGTCACGAAACAACTGAAATGTGATCAACAGCCTTTGCCAGATGATTCATGTTAATGTAGTAGTAAGCTTCACATTTCGTTGCTAAGGTACGAAAACATCAGTTTCGGCCCAAAATTTTATGGATTAACACGGTTTCAAAATTTTTGCCAAGATGTCTGAATACAGAAGTGAGATGCTTCGCAAGCGATTATTTCCGTTTAACGTACAAAACATACAGAAATGTAAGTATTTTACGATAAATGAAAAAAAATCTCTGAAAACTAATGTCGTATTAAACATTACTTTGAATTGTTAAATTTGTATATTTCTTATACATATGGGAGTGATGAAGTTGTTCAACCTACTACTAAACTGTCCTTTTATGGAATGAGTCGGTTGATAAATCAACTGAGAAAAATAAACGAATCATAAAACGTCTGTTGACTGAAAAAACACAAAAAAACCGTATGTTGCTACGCAACCGGTTCGGCAGTGGGAATGTTAAGGTTCCTTGAAATTCTATAAATTTTTATATTCCCTAACAACAAGATGAAAAGTGCTAACCGATAGTCTTACCTAAGCTTTGAATGCCACGCGCACACCACACACATATATATATAGTTTATAGTTTACTGCATCATAATATTTCCTACCCTGAATATTAAAAGATTGAACATTAAAATTACCTTACGGTCACGTTTCACTTTCCGTGTAGAGAATTCAGTCATGTTTATTCACCTCATCAAATGGTTTCTGAGCGGCTATGCTGAAACTAGGGGCCCATAGATTTGATTTTAACCATACTAATAATAATAACTTTTTATACTTTCGGCCAATTAACAAAAAAATTAAAAGGCACCGTTCTGGATGATTATGGGGTAGAGTGTCGAAAACTTTGCAGTTATCAAGTTAAATACACAGGAGATAAGTTAATACCAGTTCGGTTTAGAAATTTGGCAATATAAAAATATTGGTGCGAATTGTCGTTGCTTAGCAACAATTACCCTGTTAAGGCCGTACGTTTTTGGGCCGAGCCGCGGTGATTGGCATGTTGATACAACACGCCAATAACAGGACTGTTGACATGACTCGGAATTTTTACCTTACTTACACTCGAGCCTTGGTCCAACCTACTGGTGTGTTGAACGACGGAACTACAACGAAGCTGAGCGTCGTCTTTGATGACTCCCACACCACATCGATTGGTTCCCTGAACAATCAGCAGTTGACTGGACCAAAATTACAAAAGGACATAAAAGACAAGAAGTTCTTCTGAAATTTTGGGTCCGCAAGTCTGCCATGACTTCAGACATCACTCAGATGTATCTGCAGATCCTGCTCGCGGACAAGGACCACCGGTTCCAGCACCCGTTTTATAGGTCTGATCCCGCCGAGGCTGTCCGGGAGTATGAGTTCCATAGACTGTCCTTTATACTTTCCTGTTATCAGTTTCTGGCACTCCGGGTGCTAAGGCAACTGATCCAGAATGAGGGTGAAAGTTATCCCCTAGCGTCTAAAGCTTTGGTGGAGAATCGACTACATACTGACCGGGTCGACACAGTTGAAGGAGTGAGGATGCTTCAACAGGAGCTAACCGATTTGCCGAGAAAGGGTGCCTTCTCCTTAAATCGCCGACGTGGTTCCGGAGTCTAACCTCGAAAACGCGAGCGTTAAGGTCTAGGGATGCAGTGTGAACCGAACATAAGCAAAATTATGTTCACCATCGCCCGAATATACAACCCTCTTGGCTACCTGGTGCCAGTAGTCTTTAGAGCGAAGGTGATCTTGAAGAGACTCTAGGAATGTAAGATCGGTTGGGATGACCGAATTTCAGACTTAGCAACGAATGCACCCGATTTTATGATTATTTGCCAGTCATGAACTCTCTAAAACTGCCACGATGCCCTATTGTATCTCATCCTACGCGCGCTACCCTCTTTGGTTTCGCCGATCCGTCAGCTTTGGGCTATGCAACGGTCCTTTACCTTTGGGTAGAGAGCCCAGGCGAGGATACAATCACGAATCTTCTCTTCGCCAAAACCCGTCGGGCTCCTTTTAAGACTAGAACTCTGCGCCGCGTTATTGTTAGTAGATGTTCTAATGGCACTTTGAGCTTAATAGAGGTTAACGCAACCACCCACTCCTTAATTAAGTCCTGGAAACGACACCATTCTAGAAGGGGGGGGGGTCGACAGAGCTGAGGTCACTGAATCCATATGTGGACTCTCTCGGTCTCCTTAGGGTGAGCGGACGCCTAGCTAACGCACCTATGGGCCACCAATTAAAAAATCCGATCCTACTTCCGTACAAATCGTACTTTACCCAGCTGTTAATTGACCATCCCCGTTTGGTATACACTCATGCTGGACCAAAACTTCTTCTGGCATTGCTGAGACGAAGATACTGGATCCCCTGGGCTCGAAGGCTTGTTCGATCTCCGATCCATCACTGCGTCCGTTGCCACCTCCTGAGAGCTGGACCCATCACATGCTTCGAACGAAACAGCGTATTTGTTTGCCTCGGAACCAAGGCTGTACACATTGAGATGGTGTCACAACTGTCGTCGGCTGCTTTCCTCGCTTGCTTGATTGAGGAATTCAAAACAAAATTAGGTCAGGCAACGCGACAAACTTTGTAGGGTCCAAGCGTCAACTGGCCAACTCAACGCATGATTGAACGCAGAGAACACGCACCAAGAAATTAATGAACAAATGGTTAAGAGAGGCATAGAGTGGACCTTCATCCCGCCGTCAGCCCCTCACTTTGGAGACTTATGGGAAGCTGCCGTGAAATCAATGAAGTACTACCTCACACGAGTTCTCCAGCACCAACAGTTGATGTTCGAGGAGTTATCTACCGTCACGAGCCGGGTCAAAGCGATTTTGAATTCCCGACCGCTGTATCCGATGTCCTCATCCCCCGACGATTATGGCGTCGTGACACCAGGATATTTTATACTAGGTGACGCCTTGGTGTCATTACTCGAACCGCTCATCATCTAATAACTCGGTGGCAATTTTTACAGAAGGGCACAGCGTATTTCTGGAAGAAGTGGCGATTGGAGTATCTCACCACACTCCAACAACGGCTGAAGTGGTAACAGCGAACCGACAACCTGGACTTGGGAACCGTTATCGTCTTAACGGACGCCAAGGCGCATCCGTTATCTTCGCAGATTGGCCGCATCATCGAGAAGTACCCAGGCAAGGATGAAGCAGAGAGAGTGGTACGCGTCAATACGCCTATTGGGGAGTACACTCGACCAGTGGTCCGTCCATCTCCTCTGCTGTCTGAGCCCTGACCGCTCCAGTGACACCTTCTTTGCCCGCGGCCATTAATTTTTTTTATTTTCTGTTGTGCTTTTCTGGGACTTTTGAGTAGAAAATTTCTCCTAAAATTTGGCGGTGTGTTAAGGCCGTACGTTTTCGGGCCGAGTCGCGGTGATCGTGCCGTTGACAACAACAGGATTAACTCGCCGATAACAGGACTGTTGACAAGACTCGGAGTTTCTACTTTACTTACGGTAGAGACTTGTCTCGACCTACTACTGCCTGACTTGTCGCTGCCCGCTTTTGGTTTTGCAGCTGAACGCCTGCCGCCGCGTTAACGTGTCGCCTGATTTTACATTTCGCCAGCCAAACAGGGGTACCCCAGAACCCGCAAGTCGTTTGTTTTAAATATTACTTTATATTTTATTTTGTATTTGTCAAGTCTACCTTTTTTGTCGTAATTTATGCGAGTAAGCCCTTTAATTTTTGCAATCTTCTTCTACAAGGTTTTTTTGTTTGTAAAATAAAGCGAATAATAAAGGCAGAAATTTATCCAGCACCGTCTTTTTGTTTTCCTTTTTTTTCTTCGAACCGCGGGGGTAAAGATATATTGTACCTCGACCCTAACTTGAGGTCGCCGAAGCCCCAACATACCCTATGAGATTAATATTGATCTAACTTTATAAAACGATAGTTCCTACTGACAGTTAGTTGTTTACAACGATCCAGATTTCAAGCTTATAGCTGATCATCAATTTGAAGGAATTTACAACCACGTCTCTCGACATGAGTTGTAAACGTGAACCCACCGCCAACTCGACGTCCCTATGAGAAGCTGGTTTTTCGCTGAAGTATCCACAAGTAAATATTATATTAATAAATACTGTAAAAAAATATTTATAATTTAGTGATTAATTTGTTTTTATTAATTAATGAATAAAAAATTAAAATTAAAATGATGCATTAATAAGAAATTAGTAAATTAATGATAAAATTAAATAATAAAAACTAGTTAATTAATTTGATTATTTTGTATGACTAATTATTTAGGTATATATTTAAAATAGGACGTAAATCAAAATCATTTATTAATTTCATAAATTGTATCGTCAAAGAGATTTATTTTTTATCGATATGTTGTACAAATTAGGCTTTCCTCATTTTTGTCTTCAGTAGAATGGGATAAAATCGATTATTTTACGCGTTTAAAAATTAAATTTATCATTGATAAAAACAAAGTATCTTGCATAAAAAAATTAAAAATATGTAGTTTGGTTTACTTAAAAAAAACATTCATAAAGACCAAAACACTCAATTTTACCAAAGGGTTATAAGCTTAACAAACATGTTACTAAATAAAGAAGAAAACAATTTCTAAAATAAATGCTTAAAATTTTTCCCAAAAACAGAATTAGATAAAAAAACTACTTTCCATTGGTTCATCGGTAGATTGTTGTAAAATAAATACAAATATAAAATATAAATGGGCTGGAGTAATTAAACAAAACGAAATAAATCTGAACACCAAAGAATTTAATATCCCAAATACAATTAGGTGTATTGATAAAAAGTTAAAAAGTAACAACAACGTTATTTTTAAAGCCGACAAAGGAAATAGTATATAATAGTCATCATTGAATCAAAAATACGTTTCTAAAGTAGAAGAATTCTAAATAATAAGGATTGTGATAAACAAAAAAGATCCCACCCTAAAATAAAAAACTGAAGTTCGAACAGCTATGAAAAAAATAGTGAATTTTTATTCTCAAATGATCCATATGCAGTTAAAAAACTAATAACAACCTCCATTGTTATAAGGTGGTTCGGTCAAAATTCACAAGGAAAACAAACCTATAAGACCAGTAGTATCCTTTCATAATTCTCCATGCAAAAAACTAGCGATCACAATTGATAAAACAATTAAAACTCACATCAATTTCAAACCTACATTCGGTATTCATAATTCTTTAGAATTGATAAAACAATTAAAAAACATAGACATACCTAACAACTGTCACTGTTAAAGAATGTGAACAACTCATAAAACAAAAACTTACGGAGAATTCTATTAACGAATGAGTATAAATTGATATAATAGACCCCTTAAATATATTCCTACTATCTAATTATTGTAAATTCAATAATAATTTTTATGAAATGAAAGGGTTACCAATGGAGTTCCACTATCCCCAATTTGTGCTGTAATATTCATGAATAATTTTGAAAAAAAAAATTAATAAAGACTGTTCTTTTTGGAAACAGTATATACGACGAATTCAAGGACCATCTAAATGAAACAAAGCTTAATTTCAATTTAAATTCAAATAAAACTATAAAACTGTTACACAGTTTTAACAAAGGGAGGGACCTAGATTGGTTTGAGAAATTTCGATTTAAAAAATGCAAAATCGAAAATGGATAGAAATACGTTAATAATATACTAGATTTTGATGTACCTCCTATTTTAAATATGTACCTAAATAATATTAGTCGTACGAATTAATGAAATTATTTTTTATTATTTAATTTTATCATCAATTTACTGATCTATTATTAATGTATCATTTTAATTTTAATGTTGTTATTAATTAATAAATAAAAACAAACTAATCACTAATTTATAACTATTTTCTTATAGTATTTATTATTATAATATTTAATTGTGTTATAATTTTCGCTTCGGTTGATAATTGAGCGGCATTAAAAACCAGCTTTGCATTGGAACGTTGTGTTCGCCGGGTGATCCGGGGAGGGGGAGGGTTCATTCTTACAATCCATGTCGAGAGACGTGGCTGTAAATTTCTGAAAATTAGATAAAGGTGATTGGCTATAAGTTTGAAATCGAGGTCGTTGAAAACAATTAACTGTGAGTAGGAGCTATTTTTGTAAAGATTGAACAACATACTCACTCCACCATTTATCATTTCTATTAATATTGATCTACGGTCAATAGTTTATGTTTTAAAAATTAGCTTATTGCTGCTTGTTGCCTTAGAAGGCACATTCTGAGTCGAAATACTTTATTCGAATATAGATTTTGTATTATCTTGCCTAAATGAAATTTTTAGTTATCTTACACCAGACAATTTTCAAAAAGAAAGTTTAACTTTGAGGTTTTGAACTTTGACTAGATAAGTATATAAAATGTTTCTCGAAATATAGTAGGAAAGTTTGAACTTATATACCCTGAAAATTTTCACGTTTTAAACTCAATTGGATTTGTCATTTTTAGGGTACCAATACCCGGATTCACCGCCGCGAACATCTCCTGAGTCAACTCCAGAACAAAAGGACGCTGAAACCGTACAGCAAGAGACTCACTCCCAAATGCCTGCCGAGGAACCCCCATTACCGCTCCTCTTTTGCCGATTCACTCAGACCGAAGACTGCACTGCGTCCTTAAAAATAGAAAAGAGAGCGCTGCGTAAAAAAGGTTCCTTGTCTCCAAAGACCATTTTCACTAACAACAAGCCAAAAAAACAGAGAGTAAAGCTGAGACGAAGGTCGAAGAGATTTTGTCCACTGAGTCAAGAGGATTCTCTTCCATTTGTCAGTGAACAATCTCGTGTCGATGTCGCCGTGGAGACCATGTGTACCGAGGACGAAGAGGAATCGGAAGATGAGACGAGCAGTTCTTCTGACAGTTCTCGTGTTCTACCATCTCAGCCCGTATCGAGACCGACGCGAATTAAACTGAAGGCTGCACCTGTGCCCATCAGATATTCAACAACCATTTTACGTAGAACAGCAAAGAAGAACTTGAACAAAACGAATAAAGCGGAGGTCAAGCTTGATAGCATGCTGACAATGATCGATGGGCTTCTGGCGGCCAGTCGAAACGAGCAGGCAATGGGTAAAATAAGTGGTTATTTTCAGACTCTCAAGAAGGAAATCAACTTTTGCCTGAAAAATAAAATTTCGCCGAAACTGTCTTACACACAAGACGCGCCGGCAGATGTCCAATCTAATCCCACAGAAGGAATTGGAAGTACGCCGGACAACAAACCAATCGCCAGGGTGATAGATCCAATGACAGACATCATCGAGACTAAAATTCTCAAAAAAAAGGTCCGTGGTAACAGTAAAAGGTCAAACGATAATTTGTACAGTTTAAACAGAATCAAGGCCAGAATGGCGGAAGAGAATCATAAGGATCGGAAGTCGCATTATGTAGGAACATCCGCCATGGAGCATTATTTACCGGAAAGCTTCAACTACGACACTGGAGATGAACAGGATTGGATAAAACGGGATAAGGATGAGAGAGCTGCCGATCGAAAATTTTCATCATTGCTGCAGGAAATGTTCGAAATAGATCCTGCAACAGCCGAAGCACTTGACGATAACGAACACCCTGATGAAAAACAAGAGAACCAACTCAATGTAAGAGAATTTCTCCATAGACTTCAAAAGGAACTGAAAGCCGAACAAGCCCGGAAACCGTCCTTCTCATCCTTCGATACTAAAGATCGAGAGTATTATCGTATGAAAGCGATTAGGTGTGGTAGGAGGAAAATTTTTCCGAGCAGAACGCCGTTGATATCTTCAGTCAAACTGTCAGAAATTGTATATGATAAACCTGATTCGTCGGATGCACAGGCACAAAATCAATTAACGTTGAAAAACTCTGAGAAGGAAACAGTTTCGCTTGCCGATCGCGACAATGCCGGTGTCGAAGTAACTCCACCCGCGGTGATTACACATGAGATTACAGACATAGCGACCGGAAGAAAGGTCCGAGTATCTTCTACAGATATAGACCAAACCGTGCAACTCAAGATTCTTGCGAAACTGTACAACGATACTTTAGTAAAAAATGCAATCGGCTCAGCTATATCAGAAATACCTCCAAAAAGAAAGTATAGACCGTTAAAAATGGGTCTAATACGGCTCGACGCGATACTCAAAGATATAGCCAGGGAAGATTACCAAAACGAACTCGAACTTGCGATTCAGCGGAATAACAAAAAGGAACCTTTAGAATCGGGCAATTTAGGTCTTGCCGCTTACAAACTGATGACAAGACTGAAGAATAACGGGGAAGATAAAATAAGAGACCTTATGTCGACAATAGGATTGATAACGCAACTCTCTAAAAAGTTTAGCTTTAAAGCGAAAACGGATAAGACATCCGTACACTCCATTAAAAAGAAACGACTATCAGGGAGGTACTTTGAGAGGCGCAAGAAGGCAAAGTCCGGGTCCATAAAACGACACAGCACAAAAGGTAAAACAAAAAAAAGTGAACAAAAAAGAACAGCATTCGCAAAAAAAAGATCATCAAAAGATAAAGAAACAGGCGGAAATAAGAGAGACAGTATCCAATCGAACAGGAGGCATTCTATTAAAAGGGGTAGATCTCCGACGATTGCCAAATCAAAGGAAGCAACGAATATCAAACAGAAAGATTGGGGGGGTGCAAAAACCAAAGATTTTGGGCTCAAGCCGAAAGAAATTGCACTTACGAAGCCAAAGTCATCAAACGTACTCAAGTTTGGGGAATCGCCAACCGCCAAGATGATCCATGGCAAGCCAAAAGACTCGCAAACCGTGAGACGAAAAGAATCACCGGCTGCCATGCCGAAAGGAACGCTGACTACGAAACGGAAAGAATCACCTGTCCACCGACGCAGAGAATCTCCCGCGGTCAGGCGGAAACAATCGCCCGGGGCGAAGAGCAAGGATTCATTCACCGTTAGGCGGACCCAATCGCCATTATTTAAAAGAAAAGATTCGCCGATTTACCCAAAGCGGAAAGAATCGCCGATTATGGTCAAACGGAAGGAATCGCCTGTTGTCGCCAGGCGGAGAGAATCGCCCGTCTTCAAACCCAAAGAACCGATATTTATCGTAAATGAATCTATTGCGGCCAATCCGAGGGAATGGACTGTTCTGAAAAATCGAAACGACTTGTGGAAATCCAGTACAGTTCGTGATCTCCGTAGACACTATAATAGTCAAGATTTGAACAAACACAATTCCCAACTCGAATTTTTCAAAGCGAGTCTTCCGCACGAAGGGCGTAAATGGAACCCTGCACACGATTTACCCCTCATCACTTCTACCTACGAAGTACGACAGTTAAGTACACCTCATGACGTACACCAGGCGACACCCCCTCCTCCCGAAGTACGTAAGACGAACCTCGTTAAAGATATGACTAAATGGGGTGTCTCTCGTGAGACTCAAAAGTACGGCCTGACGTACATCCGTAAATCGAGTGCCGGTCGCGAAGCGCGTAAATCCAGCAACTCTTGCGATTCTCCTCGGTACGGATGCAGGTCGAGAGTGACTCCTGACTGGCGCAAAAACGGTTCCATCAGCGATGGCCCAAAATCGAGTGTTTCGCACGAAGTGAATTTATTAAGCCATTTCCGCGACAATCGCAAATCGAGTCCGTCTGTCGACAGATCCGACTCTGGGAAAACTCGTCAACGGACCCTACCGAAGCAGAACATATTCGCTCGAAGGACAAAACCAAACATAAATGTAGAGGCCGGTCCCAGCAGGAAGTCTACCGCGAAAAAAGAAAGACTGCAGGTCAAAAAACAGGTTTCAAGTGAAAATGATATCGTTACATTGGCCAAAATGAACCCACTCGCTTTAGAAAAGGCTGCGCAACAGGCAAAAGACAGCAGCTCTTCAACTGAGTCCTTGATGAATATAATTTATAAATTAATGAATACTGATTTGGACGATGACGTTGTAGAAGGTCCGGTAGACCATTGGGACATCTATAAGTCTGACGATGATAAGAGTGTCGACAATAAGACCGAAGATGAAAAGAGTTATGGCGAAAACTTAGAAAACGTAACCACTGTCGACGAAACGACAGAATACGCCGATTTAGGGGACGAAAATACAGATGTTGAAATGAAAGAATGCGAAACAACAGATGTCGAAAATAATGTTACCGAAAATGAGGATGTAGTGAAAAATGATTTCGAATTGTTCGAACCCGTAGTAGTAGATCAGGAGATAAAAGAGGAAGAAAAGCGAGATGTCGAAAAAAAGGAAGATGAAAACAAATTCGAGGAAAATAAAGACATCGAATTTAAAGAAGGAGACATTACTGATTCCGACAAGAAGTTGCAGAGGAAACTGGTCCATCGCCCTTTTAAGAAAGGCGGAATCATCGAGAAGAGAAATGCCAAATTTCGAGCGGATAGGCGTGCGAAGGAAAGAGAAAAGCGGCTGGCACTCCTCACATCGATGAAAGCCGAACCATTGGTACTTGATATGACAGCTCCCAGAATCAACAAGTCCTCAGTGGATGCGTCGACGCAAGTAATGGCTGGAGGACAAGCTGCGAACAAGGAAAAACCAGATTCGGAGCCGGTACAAGCCCACGGCGAGCCAGAAGATGGTGAAAAACGTAAACCAAACAATAATCCGCCCAACCGTCTTACATCCCTGTTCGAAAAGTCCTCTGAGCCAGAAACGGCTCCAAAGCAATCTACCAGTCAATGTAAACCGGTAACATCAAAAGAAAGCAAATTAGAAACGGATCAATCTGTCCCAAGAAAGGTCAGTAGGCTACGCTAAAGATTGGATTTCAAAAACCCGTCGATATTTATACTTAACTCACGCACAAATACAAAAACACATTGATTTACAGGATTACATTTCAAGGCAACTTCCCAATAAAACATTTTCAGAGCATATTTTTTTTTTGTTTACCCCAAGTGCAAGTGAAGGTTTATTTTGTGTTCTCAATGCAAATGGGTTTTTAGATTATAATGTAATATAAAATATAAAACATATCTACAATATAAAAAAGGAAGATAATGATGTTTCATCGAAGTATGGAATGCCCTCTACGTACGCAGTAATTTGGTAAATTTCTGTAGACATAATTAAACGGGCGTTCCAAAACATGAATATTCCTTATGAATATTTTCCTGTTATCACAGAAGGAATTTTTTGTTGTAAATATAATTGAGTCAGTAATGATTATTTACGGCTATACATTTTAATACACTATTACGATTTGATAGATTTGATAAAGGCTCAATTTTGCACTTATTCTCTGGAATTTCTGACCGTCCCCAAATTGTCTTAGATAATAAGGAAAACCACGCTATTAAAAAATTAATGTATACTATAAAAAACTAAAACTAAAAGAGGGCGAATACGATCGTAGGTTCGATTTCCACCGTCGCCATTGGAATTTCTCACCCCTTTCCCAACTACTAATTAATTATTAGCATATTCCACTGTTGATGGCTAATTTGGAAATCAATGTTTGGGCATCCGTCCCTCACCTAGAATATGGACGGAGTTTCCTTCCAAGGTCGCCCCTGTAATTCCTCATTCCTCTCACAACTAACTACCTACTATTATTCGTACATACGACTGTTGCTGTCCCTTAAGAAAACATAAGGCTATAAAAAATAAATCAAACGGAAAGCAGTGACCCAGTCAAAAGGTTTTTTTTCTGCAATAAAATTGCAAATTTAGGTTTGAACTGAAAAAATGCATTGTTACGACGAGTATTTACTTACATATTTCAGATAACCCGCAAGGGTACAAAGAAGGTATACGATATCCTTATTTTTAGTTATTGTAACTACATAACAAGATGTTTATGTTCTATTTTGTATCATTTTCTATCACTTTTTCATATGTCGTTCGTTGTCAGATGGGGGCTTTCACTATTGATCCTGTCTTATACCAACACAGTTGAACTCGTTCATACTTCATATATCCGGTGACGAACAGTTTCTAATTTTTTTCAATGAAACCGTCAAAAAAATACAGCAAACGTTAAGTTTAAATTACACCTGTCTATTCAATCCGAAACGTTTACAAACTTCAAAAAAACGTGAAAAGTTGTTTAAAATTTTTGTTCATATCCTCCAATCCAAGTACGATTAGAGGGGTGGTTTTGATTTAAAATATAAAAATCGTTGTTGTGTTGAAATACTTTAAACACGTTTTCACCAACAGAATTCATCGCCCGGCGTGTTAACGTTGAAAAGAAGCAGCGATCAGAGGTGCTTGGAGAGGGGCAATGCCGGGAGGCCGGGCACGTTCGGCAAATTCGTCCAATTTACATTCGTGTTAAACGTACTAGGCGGAAAGTTCCACGACAAATAACTGTAATTACTTAAATAAATAGACCATCACGGCCATCAGTTTTACTAGTAAAAACAACCCAAGTTGTTTTAATTGTGTCTGTTTAAATCTGACTTATGTATTTTTGTGCATTTCGTTGACCTAACAATTGGGAGCGGACCTGCCTCCTGTTTAATGAATTTTATTGACAAAATTAGTACCTTTTTTTTACAAAAAAGGTGTACCCAACTAGATGTTAAATGCACCCAATAACTAGCAAAGCATAACAACCTAACAATATCTTGGCTACCAGGACATAAGGGAATTTTGGGTAATGAATAAGCAGACAAATCAGTCATAGGAAAATCTGCTAGACCTACACCCACAAGGTATAAGTAAGATAACAAAATCAAACATAGCATTCGTTCTCTCAGAATAGGTTTACACAAAACGAAAGGACAAATATACACTATATAAAGGTGCGATAGAATCCAAAAGAATCCTGATTAAAACTAGCAACCATATTTCATTCAATAGCGTAAAACTGAGTATATTAATACAATTGACATCTCGAAAAACACTTACACAACACTATTCGACGTGCACAACTATTTATAGTTTATACAATGAGGAGGAAGAACGTGCCACCCATATTATCTTCGAAAGCGAACCGCCCAGTGGAATCAAAACTATGATCCAAAGATGTCCCGGGAAAACGTATTGCAGCAATAACAGTCAATAATCACCTACTTCTTAAAAGAAGGATCAGGTTAATTGAACTATATTCGGACTATCACCCCGAAGGGTTGTCACTCCCCGATGTGCTGACTTTAGTGTTTATATATCAAGGGGTTGAAGTATGTAGCTGGGTCGCTAGAATCGCCCTTAGCTAAATTCCCAGATCATCGCTTCCGTACAAACGGGTTTAGGCTCTGACTGGAGCCATTGACAGCTAGGCCATTTCAGCCCGAAACACATGCAAACTATTATCTAGCCTAGTACTAATTAAATTACATGTCAATCGTACAAATGTATTCATTTGTACGTACAAAAACATTCATACATTGCACTCATTTGATTAATCGTGGGATTACTGTATATTCGTCCATCGACCTACACACAGTATTAATAATCTAACCTAAATTAGAGTCGATGGGGTACTTTTACGCCATCGACCCTAAACACGCACACACACACATTGCTGGAGGGGCGATGGTAACGCTATATTTCACCACATACTTTACCAATCACACAAATAAAGGCACGCATTCAAACAAAACACAATGACAAAACACATAGAATCTAACTACATACAGTGAAAAACCCCACGTCCTCTAAAAACGGATCAAGGGACCCAGAAACCAACTACTGTGGTCGAGAGCCATTCATAAACTTTAGACTGTCATTCATACAGCAGCATGCCTACACGCTCTCTATGGAGCCAAGTCCGCCTCTATGTGGGGCACGCTCTCTCTATTATGAGCGGGCTTTGGCCTAGCACACTTTAGTTTGTCAACCGAGTATGGCCAATCGTCAATCGGGTGATCGGGTCTCCAGCCAGGTTCCCTGAGGGGCATCTAACATTCGCGCTGTTGACTTGCAAGAGCCTCTTGGACGACCCCGCCTACTGATGCTTCCATCTTTCTATTGTTATATTTTTCACTGCGAGATTAGCGTCACAGGGCCTGATCGCAATGGTCCGGTCTGGAGGATGTACCTCCCGGCTTTCACCGCCTCGTCCGCACAATTGGCCACAATTACGCGTTAACGGGTTAACAGAATTACGCAAAGAAAAAGACTACAAGGAAAAAACTCAATGTGAGAAGGAATCTCGTCCTACTCAACAGAAATGGACTAAAGATCCTAATTGGTACATTTAGAGGACATTTAATATAACTGTTTCAAATGAACTTATTTTATTGGTACGAAATAGTTTCTTTTCGACAAAGATTTCGGGGCTCCTTTTCTAAAGTTTATTTTAGTTGTTATGTTTTCTAAAGTTAATTTAAAGTTATATATAAGCTATATATATAAAGTTAGCATAGTTCAGTCAGTTATTCAAACTGTGCCGAACAGGAATTGCACGAGCAAAATTTTCACATCCCACATTAGAGATGAGATTTACTTTCATTTTCAATTATCAGAATTTTATTATAAAATAAAAAACCGTTTGATAATTAGATCTGTATAAAGATAAAAAAAAATCATGTGAAATTTGTCATGCTGAATTCATTTAGTCATCAGGTTCGTGATTTTTTTCAAAATTCGTACGTGATTGGTACAGTAAATCTTCAATTTATTCAAACTGATTCACTTTATCATTGATCTAGAAACACATTATGGTACTATTATATGCATTATTCAAACAATTTCAAACGGGACGGAACACAGTGTCGTATTCCAATGCCGTTAACACATGCCGACCTAGCGAACAGTTTCGTGCATGTTTGCTCGAGTAATAGGATGTTAAACTAAACATTCATCCGTGTCTGGCAGGAGCAAAGGGACTATTATATCTAGTCAAATGTCTTAACATTGTACCAACGCACAATTGAATCGGCCGCTGTTACATACCAAGAAGAAGGTAATAAATGATTTTTTCGTAGACTTGGCAAAAACTTGATTTGCCCGTTCAAATAAACAAGTCCTTTTTTTTTTTTTTTGTTAAAAGAAAAACATTTTTAATAGTTCATATATGTTATCTTCCAATTACGTTTGGTATTTATAAAGAAGTATTTAGGTTTGTCCGTATCAAAAAATATAAATATTATATGTAATAAAAAAACATAGGTTGATTGTCTCCCAGATTACGTATTGCAATGCTTTTAAAAAATATTATTATTAACGAAAAATATATGGGGATGAGTCGGGATTCGAACTCAGAACCGCTAGCACTTGGTCCGATGTTCCCATCTTTACTCAACTGGGTTGAATGTGTTACGATTTGTTAATAGAGTTGATTTGTTAATATCCATAGCGTAAGGTTGGTGAGAGTCATTTGAATTCTTGATTGGTTATCAAATATTGAATTCTTTTGGTGTATCACAGTTTTGCCAATATGTTTGTGGGATTGTTTTCGGTAAATATAATTTTTTGCTCGTTATTCGGTAATTAATTATACTTGTTTGGGTTTTTGTTCTTTTATTACGGATATATTATAAACCCCGTTCGATACGTTTCAATCTTATCCATTTCGATTGTCATTATGACTAAATCCTATCCGTAGGGGGACCGCGGTAGCCGAGTGGTTAGCATGAGAGACTCTCTCGCCGCGGTCGTGGGTTCGATTCCCACCGTCGCCTCTGGCCCTTTTTTCCCGATAACCCCCAATTTGAACACACAAAAATTCGTACCATGGCTAATATGCAAGATCATAAGGCCAATAAAAAAAAAAAAAAAATCCTATCCGTAAAAAATTGGGGTCCGCCCGGGATTGTAATTTTGAAATATCCATTGTTGTTGGATTAAATATCTTGGCAGATCTTTGAATTAAAGGCTTCAAAAAATTAGAATTTTGTTGATTCGAATAAGAAAATGTTATGTTAAAGTTTTATTTGTGAGTTAAAATCGGTACTTAGTTACATTCGTGATTAGTAAGT